AGTCATTGTCAGAGTCCGTGACAGAGCCTCCCAGCGGTTCGCTGTACGCGAAGTGGACTTCTAAAGAGACCGTCCCCTTTCCCCGTCGAAGATATTTATTAAAAATTTTCGCGAGCGATCTTTTCTTGTAGGTGCATTGATGGGTGGCCTGATAAGTAGGCGACAAATCACGTCTCTACCAGTGGCGGCCTCGTGGGTTGCGAATCAAGAAGAGCGGAATGTAAGTCCAACTATCACATACATTTCATATCTTTAAAATATTTCTTGATCGGGTAAAAGTATATCGTATAGCAGGCGCGGATCCAAGAGGGATAAATGAGTAAAATTCCCCCTCCCTCCCCACAAAAATTTCAGTAACCATTAATTTTAACTTGTCACAAAACTTTCAAGCAAAAATATTTTCGTATAATCGTTAAAACGAATAAAATCGTATAGCAGCATGACCCGAAATTAGCCAGAGTCAATCTACATAATCTGTAGAATGCGACAATTCCCCAAAGGCCAGAGTTTTTGTTTGTTACTTTCTTTTAATTGCCAAAATTGATTTAAATATTTTATATTATATATTTATATTAGAGTTATGTAACTAATATAAAATTATATTGTATAGTATCATATACATAACTATAAATATAATATTCAATTTAATAATAAATGTTTATTATTTAGCCAAAAAAATCTACGATGGCCCGCTACAAAACGATCAGTTGGATCCGCCCTGGCGGAAGTAAGTATTCAAGAAGAGAAAGAAGATATCTAACACGAATAAGAAGAAACGAGAAAGAAATCTAATAAAATAAATAAGTAGAATAAGCTTGAAACACATTTCGTGCAATCCTGTCGACTTTCTTCAGTCCTGGACTGTAATGTTTGTATGTGAGCGAATGATAATTTGTAAATCGATATCAGGCGTACTTATTTAAATTCTATCTGTTCCCAACTGTATCGTTGAATGGAAAATTTAATACCCTAATCCTTCGTCGTTTTGAAGCTTTGAATTCCATGATTTTAATAACAACTTATTACTGTTACTTCAATACCGCTTACACAGTACAGAGAAAGTAATGTAACGCTGCGCGAAAAAAACGGCGAATTTCCGACAAACTTTTGTTGCTGGTCCCTGATAACGAGAAAGTAGATAAAACCAGTTGCTAAATTTAGAAAACAATCCTCTAACTCATGGTATTGCCGGAATCCATGTTTTCTGGGTTTTGACGGAAAAACGGCCGTCCGGAGTATGTGAACGGCACTCGCGCCTAAACCACGCGCAGATTTTCCCTAAATTGAAGAAACCCCAGCTGATTTTGCCTGAGTCGTCGAAGCTCTGTGATTTTGAACAACATTCCTTAATTTTTGGAGGTATTTTCCATGAAGCCCCAGAGACATTTTCAAAATTTTCTCAAAATTGGCTCCTAATTTATTGAAAATTTCTTTACCATTAACTCTGAATTTTCGATAATCACAAAAGTGAAGTTTTCTGAGACTTCTTACAACTAAAAAATTGAAGATAGGGATTTTTCTTTCAATTAAAATTTATTATCCATTATTAGTTCTTTCATTGAGGTCATGTACATTTTTTTTTGAAAATTGTAATAGTTTGCACTTTTAAGAAATAACACACTATTTTCTCAAATATGTACATACATTTTTCTTTAATCTTTTGGTAGGGATGGCGTTAAATGTACTCTTTGAGATGACATAAACGCCATATTGCTCATTTCTTTGTCTTTTTCAAAAAATTAATTTTTTGACTTCTCTCACGTCGATGCTATTTACTTTAGCGGCGATTTGTTTACATTATTTTTTTACAAGAAAATGTATTTTAAAAAATGTATCATGTTTGTCTACATTTTTCTGTGAAAACGAGCTCAAAATTCCACATTTTCAGAAACGCTCAAATTTTCTCAAAAACTGCTCCAAATTTTTTCTTTACACTTTCCATACGGATAGTGCTCATTGCACTCTTTAAGAAGACATGAAAGTCATTTTGCTGTATTTTTTAAAATATTTCTCACGCCTTTAATATGCACATTTCCAGCCATTTGATTGCATTATTACATTTGCGAGTGGAAGCGCTTCAAATGACGTCCAATAGTTTTTTTTTGATAACTCTTCTATAATATTAAAGTAATTTTTCGTTTCTGCCAATAGGAAACTGAAAAATTGAGCAAATGTAAAAAACATGTTTTGGCAGCGGCGATAGATGGCAACTTGGAGGATGGGGGCACACTCCAAAAGGTAGCCCCGGTCAAAGAAATTTAGAAATTAGTACGAGAAAGTACGTGCCATTTCGTGGCACTACTACTATATTTTTAAAACCATAGAGCATTCATCAAATATTAAACTTAATATTTGAATATTGTTAATAGCATTATATAAATTTACGTTGTTTATATTTTAAATTATATTTGTGTTTGTATGTATCAGAGGCGGATCCAGGGACGAATTTTTGGAGGGGAAATTTATTTGTTCAGTGTTTTGGTCGAACGCGTCAATTAGAGATTATGTAATCACGCAGGGTATACCCAGCTTATCTTGCAATACAATTTCCTTCGTTGTAATATTTAAACGAAAATATTTCATTTGAAAGTTTCGTGACAAGTTAAAATAAAGTTACTGAAAAATTTTGGGAGGGGAAATTACCCTTCCCGTGGATCCGCGCCTATATAATCGCTTACACACATACAAATACCCCTCCCCCCAAAAAATCGTCTCTGGATCCACCCCTGCATGTACATCCCATTTGCACACATCAGGATTTTAATTCTTGTTTAAGACAACTTTTACTTCGATAACAAAAAGTGCAAATGTGCTCACGCGAAAATAGATTTTAAAAAATCCAGCAAACAAAACAATATACGAAGTTAGAATAAATGGTGCAGCACAGGCGCGGAGTTCTGCCGAAGAAAACTAATAGCAGCACGCTGCCCCCATCCTACTCTCAGAACCCCCACTCTTCCTGAAGATTCCATTGCCTCGTATGCATCAGCTACGGACGGAGTTGCGATTGTTCACGATGCGACCCGTATCTTTCGCGTAAGCAGGCTTAAAACTAAATTCATCCTCAAAATTGCGCTGGTGGTGTGCACTGGTCTCTACTGCATCCCTTCCAACGCGCACCGCTGGCGGCGGCACTTTCCGGCATGCCTGCAAGGGTTGAAGCCGAAAGATAACCACACATCCATGGACGCTACGCCCTTGCTAAATATTTAACCGGGACACTTGTTGGCGTCCCAGGAACAGAAAAATCATTAAATGTTAAGGGCGGGCGGGGGTCAGTGCGGCGTCGCAGCCTAAAATTTTAGCTTGGGATTTCACAAGATTCATCTTCGCCAAGGGAGGGTGGCGAAAGGGAGACTGGGCTGCCGCCGGCAGGTGCTGCAAGTCGGTACTGGATCCACCTCGATGAAAAAGAACCATTAAGTCGACCAACTTTAAAGCATCGCATTGGGAGGAGGTTTGATAAAAAGAAAACTACAATGTGATATTAGATTTAAATTAATGGTTTATTAACAAAACAATTTTATATTTTTACAATTACTTTCTATTTAGGCAAATTTATTTACATTAATTATATTTTCTTTAGTTCCGCATAGTTTTTGTAGTTGTTTTTTTTTCTTCAGGGAGGCCATAGGGTTTGTCTTCTTCCGGGGCCCACCGCTGCGGCAGTCGAGCAAAGCGGGAGCAAACGCAGTTGTGCGACACGCGTCGGTTCGGAAGCCACGAGCGCAATGTTGGAGGACGGAGTCTGTTCTATCGGGGCATTCCGACCTTAAGGCTGCCTTTGCGGATCTCGTGATGCATGTCGCTTCAGCGATATACTTTCAGCCACATGGTGGTGTAAAGCGTTCATTAATGATCCCTTAAACATCCTTAATTTTGTTTAATTCCCTTAGTATGTTCAACTTATAAAGCCCTTTTTACGAAAATTATGTTGGTTAGCCAGTCATATTTCCCATCAGGTTTGCCCCACATACGTAAACGTTAAACATATATAAGGAAAATCTTTTATTTTGACAATCTGGTATCGGTATACTTCTAGAACATGATTACGAGAAGTCGATTCTCTGAAAAGGCCTACACCCACCTTAATCTTATTCAACGACAGATTTCCATGGGCAACCGCGGACAACTAGGCGAAGAGGGGCACGATTTTCGATTGGGGATGTTAAGAGATCAGATAATGACCACACTCCTCGTGTCCTACTGATCTTCGAACACATTCCGACATTTCGTTAATGAGCCAAGTGGGCGCATGCGCTCACGGCCTTCCGCAAGCGAACGTCCCCGCTGCTTCACTCTGCGACGCTGAGCTTATCTGCTCTACGGCTGGAAGGGGTTCTGGGACGCCTATCTTGTTCTCATCTGCGAGAGCGAAAAAGCCATGCATTTGGAAATGAAGATGATAGTCATTAGCAATGCCACGACGCGTAATTGCGGCCCCGCTTTAGTAGCGGGCAAAGTACGAGTCTTCGCCAAGACCAGTCGTGCGGGGGGAAACGCGGTCACTAAAGCTCCGAATAGCTTCATCGTCACTGCAGAAATACTTTAAAGGCCTCCGTGTAACCCCCGAAACGTTTTCAGTAGGCGGCAGATGAAACACGTTGGTCACATTCAAACGAGACCATCACGGTAGCCTGCAGTTCATTTCCGTTAGTCTATTTCATCAAATTCAGAATACACATTTACTAAATGACAAGTCAACGTAGCATAACTACCATAATAAACTAGTACTTTTCTGCACAAGTGTAAATCAGTGCACAAAAGCGAAAACTCGAAACAATTTCTGACCGGGAAAATTAACATTTAAGAACATATACGAGTACTGAACAAACCTTTCGAAGAACAAGCATCCCTCTTCCGTTACACGATATTAATTTTTTTAACCATATTCACAATTTCTAATAAATTTTGTTTAAGTAGTTGAAAAGTTGAAGTAGTATCTTTAACCATGAACATTTTTTTAATGTAAACATTTTGTAACTGTCGAATAAAATCAGGTAGAGAAGGCATACTTATGTATTCACAGTATTGTCATTTTAATTGTTTTCTTTTCATTTAATTATTATTACACTTTTTTTGACCTGGTATAGCATATTTTTATGGTTATTTCCCCCTTTTACTTTCTTGCCCTCAAGAAGGTACTTTTTATTCAAAGAATCTTCTCACTATTTTAACTCTAGGATATTAGGGCATGCAAGATCAAGGTTCCAACACAAGTTGCAAGGGATGTTAATGTGTAGCATTGCTGCATCCACATCAGCAATAATTTGAGCATTGCAGTACACAAAGAAGGCACCGACTCCTAATTAGTTCAAGAACTTTATCACAACTTCAAAATTCACAAAGTTGTGCATTAACATTTGTCAGTGAAATGAAGTTAGTATTTGTATATTATACTAATTTACGTATTAGCGACTATTCGTGACCAAAACACGAATAGAATCATGTGGCAGGAACACATTGTCCGAGGCCTTTTGAAGTATCGTTTAAAGCTCTCTTCAATCGTCCTTGTTCTCACCAGTGTTGTACCTTCATGCTGGAAACCAATAGTTGACCAGTAATAAATGGCCCTTGCCCACCAATAGTTGGGAAGAGTCATTTTAATTAGGACTTGCGACATTAAACATTCTCTCTCTTTTGATTCAATTTACAGAAACAAGGAGAGTATTGAGTGTACAGCATTATTGCATATTAATAAATCATTTTCACAAAGAACATACAAATAATTAATGAATCCTTTTAATTTGGAAACATGAAATAAATGTTGAACACACGATTGCTATTCACAACTTGGTACTCAAACCTCTCGTCTATGACATAGCACATTTTAGACAAAATCATTACACTTAAAATTGTAACATTCTTTCACCTACTTGGGTAACCTACTATGTTACTTCCCTTACAAACCACTCTTGTAAAAATTCAATTTTCACACAATGGACCTTCAAATGGAATGTAGAATAAAGAATACGAAGGGAAAAAAAGGGATGATTGTCTGGGCTTCATTGAATGCAACTGTGAGAAAAAAATAATTTTCCTGAGAAATCGCTACATAATTATGAAAATCAATACTTAATGCATTTTTATTATTTCTTTGTATCAATGAGGATTGTTAGCATTGCTGACAATAATACTTCAAAATGTCAAAAAACCAAAGATTAAATGGATTTGATACATTTGGTAAACTGTTATGAACCCCTACTCTTCCCACACCCATCATCATCAAATCAAGAATAAGGTGAAAAGTAGAATTTATTGTAACTGGTTTTATTAGGTTTTCTCACACTCTTTTAGTCGATAAAATTTTGGGCTTTATGTGAGTAAATAAAATCCAGATTAAGTAGCAGCATACAACTCATTTCTAAAACTTTCAATTTGACTCTCGACATGGGTAGAACAGATACTTCATGGCTTCACGATATTGAGGGCCTGCCTGTTCCCCTGCTGACTCGTAACACCAACCCTCAAGCCACTGTAACATATCAGAGCACCCTGTTGGGAAGGCTTGGACAGACCAGGAGTTCTCCTGTGGCATCTCGTGTACATTCCAGATACTTAAATCCTATTGTACATTACTACCAAAGATGCTGCAGTGTGAAGCATAAATGAATTACAATCCAGACATTTGTATCCTGTTAATAAACTGGTATTAAGTCGCAGTGTCTTGGACAAGATTAAAACCAAAGTTGAATTGTATGTAGCAAACACGACTAACACCTAACTTTAGTCAAATAGTATATTAGTCTGTTGCTATGGAAAGTAAAACTTCAATTATTTAATCATATCCAGGAGTTGAAATACTAACATTATTGAAGACTGGTAATTACTCAAGTAAACTGGGTCGTGGTTGATTGCTTTACTTTACTCCAAGTTCGCAGTGCATTTAGTTTCCACTGCTGGAGAATGGAGCTACAACTTGTACTATAAACTTGCAATGTTCCGACAACAATTAAACCAATAATTGAACAAAAAGTAAAACTGTAGTCTTTGGCTACAGGCAGAGATACATACTGGGTTATAGCAGGAACTTCACAGAGGCTGTAAAACTGCAGGACTTTCTCTTTGTGCCAAAAATGACAATGTGAAATCTCATGGATGTATATGGATAAGTGTTTAGCCAGCAACTGTACATAGGAGACATTAACAGAAGAAGCGCGAAACCATGGTAACAAAATAAAATTTTTTGGAAGTATTCTCTCAATCCAGCTATGAACTTCTCCAAATAGTGAAACAAAGATACGTATTAACTTCAGGATTTTAAGCAATTGAGCATCAAAAAATGGTGCAGGCACTCAAAGATTTAATGTCACAAGAGGAAAAGGAACTTTTTTCTGCAGATGTATGGATAAGTGGGAAAATGTTCAGACAGCGAATTTGCTGTGTATGTTTAATAAATATATTAACTCTATGCTCATATAGCACTAGATATTAACATTTTCATTAATTTTTATTTTCATTATGGAACAAACCATTGGCCCTTTGGAAAGTTCAAATATGGAAACAGATATTAATTTCATGAGTCCTCTTCTAATATAATGCTGAACAATATACTTCTTTGACATTTTTACTGCTTATAGAACAAGAAATGCACCAACAGGCTTCTTATATGGGCATCAAACATTATATATACGACACTAGTTGTGCAGATAATAGATCACATCTTTAGCAAAGACCATGCGTATTGCTCTTTTAACAATTGAGTGATTCTTTGGTCAACTAAAGAACCACTACCTTCCCTGAAATAAGATGGTAAAAATGCAATCCGACATGCAAATAAAATAAATGTCTGCACTATGACTGCATCGAAGTTTTTAGAAAGTTGGCCTTCTGAAAAAGAATATCCTATTAATGTACAGATGACTCAACCACTTAGCAACAAATCACACAAACTTTTTTCTATGTACACATTTCTTTACTTCAATTTCTTTGAACAAATTTGAGAAAGTTAAGTGAACTGGCAGTAACAGCCACCCCAGAAAAGTGTAGTTCTATACAGGTACATTTGTTCCTCTTTCACTTGAGGTCTATTTCAGAACTTTCAACGTGAAATGGTCTGATAAACTGTCCATGTTCCACAACAGGGGTCTGCTCATCTTGATTATCAATTCGAATACGAATTCTATTTTGGTCATGGAGAGGTCTAGGAAGTGACCTAGGGACATCACCGTTTTGTGGCGATGCTGTAGGGGTGGTTGTTATTGATGAATATGGAACATATATTCTCACAATATCTGGGCTAGGTGCATGAGGAGTAGCACGAGGGGTGGAATGACTTGATGCACCTCGCTGAATTACACTAGTGTGACCAATTCCTGACCCAACCGAACTGGCACCATCTCCACTACCATCAGATGCATTACTATGAGTGTCCAAACTGTTATCAAGGACTTGTGACCGTGTTGTAGTTGAAAAGACAGATAAATCTGCTGTGGAAGTCACACTTGTGTCAGCCAATGATCGCCGTGAACTACTGTGATGGCAGTCAAGTAGAGAGCTTGCATCATCAATACTTGGATCAAATGAGAATTTTGAACCTGAAAAAGAAATAAACTCTCAGAAATTTTTATTTCATCTTCAAAATACTAACATGTATGAACATATACACACAAGATTTTTGTGAATATTCAATCTTATTCAGGCAGAGTGCTCCTGCAGAACACTTTGAATGCTTCGGCTAAATGGTGTTCAAACAATGATCTCCATCTTAATTCCAGCAAAATATGTAAAGCGATTACTTTCACTAGATCTAATATTTGATTCTAAAATAACTAACATATGAAGCATATTATCACCAAATCAAACCAGATCTCGCGATTTGTAAAACAAACGTGCAATGAATTGAAGTCCAAAATAATTTTTGTGTCACTTTAATGCTTGAGAGACCACTACTGATATATTCATTAGTAGTTAGGTATCCCTTCTTTGGAACTTTCTTTGGAATGGTTGCTTAATATTTGGAACTTATTGATACTTTTATTTATCAAAAGTATTCTAACATTGTGTGTGGTTAGATTTCCCATCACTGAAATTCTTTAAGGAGGTATCTAAACTTAACATCCTCTATAAAAAATTATTGTTGGTACCATCGATTTTCCACTGTTACTCAAATTAATAAATCTTAAAAACCATAGATTTAACTCTAGGAGTGTGTGGTTTACCGATATTAATTTTGTAATTGTACTTTGTACTTTCGACTTGTATAATTCAAGGAGTTACTCCTTGAGTTGATACCTTTTGTAAATGAAGAACAAATTGTATGTATATTTGAAATAAAAATTAAATAATCACATGGGAATTATAATATAAATAACATTATGATACAAAAGTATTACTTTTTTAAATTTCCTTTATCAGTAGCACCTAATTACGATGGAAGTAAGAATTTATCACGTAAGTTAACAACAAGCATCACTTAAAAATTTAATACAAAAGTAAAATAAACCCTGAAAATAAATTAGACAGTGAAGAAATTAAACAAAACTTTATATTTCCCTAAGAACAACCATGTCTTATGGACCATTCTCTTAGCAAAATGAGTAGTTCAATAAGTGCAATGAGAATTAGTAATACAGAGGCACTGCTTTCAAAATGTTGTGTAAGCTTCTTGACCAAAATCATGAAATACATTCCATGGTGGTAGCAGATATCTTGTGGTAATCCATAATATGGTAAAGGAAATAATCTCCACAAAAGGTTTAATAATTTTTGTTAATTATTTTCCAGAATTAACTTTTGGGAAAACAGATTTCCCATCCTCGGTGATCTCTAGCAAGGAGGAGAAATGAAAACATTAACACAAGTTGAACACACAAAAAAGGGGTGGGTACAGGGAAGTTAGTGGAAAAAACAACAACAAACAAATAATATAAATACAAATTGAAAATATTTACTGGCCAAGCAACGTGGATCACCCATGAATGTTCACAACATTTTCTTTTCCGTTTTACATTCCTGTATGTAAAGCAGTCATTTTTTAAAATCTGTTTATGACTACCCTTTTTTCTCTTCTATTCCCCACCCCCTTTCCCTCAATTGGTAGGTTTCCTCTTCTTCCATTCCAAAAGATGGCTGCCACCTAGCTGTAACCAGCATGTTTTGCAGTTTTCATATTTTTTGAACCATGTTGTGAACATTCATAGATGATCCACGTTGTTGCTTGGGCAGTAAATATTTTTAATTTGTATTTATATGATATTATTTGTTTGTTTTTTCCACTAAATTCATTGTACCCTCCCCTTTTTTGTGTTCAACTTGTGTATTAATGTTTTCATTTCTCCTCCTTGCTAGAGATCCACTGATGAAAGGAAAAGTGTTTTCCTGAAAGTTAACTCTGGAAAATAATTAATAAAAATGATTATACCTTTTGTGGAGATTATTTACCTTACCATATCATGAAATAATTTGTTGTTGCGCAACAAAATGGATTCAGTACAAAAGCAATTCCCATGTGGGGAAGGAATGACCGAGCAATCTTCCTGTTTGTGAGAACAGGCTAAAAGAAGCAGTACATGCAAAGGAGAGAGGGAGAGATCTGACACATTTTTGGAAATTGCTTCAGACAACATGATAAAGACCATACATGCTTATAATTTTCTTTTTCATTTGGGAAGCTATGTTTCTGATTGTGGATACTGGTGTATGATGTGCTTGGCATGTTCCAAAGAACTCCAATATGTTAAGAAACTCCATCTGCACGTGATTTGTGTCTGTGTATAAAAGGAGCATCAAGAAGACTGAGCCAAAATCATTAATGAATTTAAAGATTACTTAGAAGACAGTGCAATTGAACGGAACTTTAATGAATCAGCTGCATGATTTACTTGCAAAATGTGTATTCACATTCATAAACTGTATTCATTTAGTGATGGTTCTTTTGTAAAACTGTTTCACTTATGCAGCAATGTCCAGAAAAACGGCCAATTGGCTGCTAGAATTTCATGCATATTCAGTTCAACATTCAAGGTAGTGAAGAACTCTCCACGCACGAAAAGTAGTAAAACATGTTACAAAAAACATTGCCAGCTAAGAGTTTTCAATCCAAACTTTGGTTATCTGTAACTAGATTTCTTGTTCTATATACTGGAAGTTCCGTAAGAACAAAAATAATACAGAAATCACGAAAAACATGTGATTAAAATGTGCCCTTCCAGTAAATGTTAACTCTTGTTACTAATGTTGCACATTGTGAGAAAGTGTTTTCCAGTATTAAAGACTCAGGAGAAACTATAATAATTATAAATTGTATAATGAATACATGATACTTATTGTGCTAAAATATTATTACTGTGATCAGTAAAAATGTTATTTAATAGGCAAGTTTAAATGGAATTACAGCACTTTTTGTCATCTATTTTAATAATGTATTCATAGGTAGGTGACTCATGGACATTGTGCTAACTTTCTATGGTGCAATCCCATGTTCAAATCCTGGTATGGTCAAAAACAGAGCTGTAGCTTTCTAATATAATTGTCTCAGCTTCTATAGTTGTATTATGAAAGAAAAGCCTAGACAGGCCATGCTCAATAGAGATGGGAATATGTCGTGCTCACACAGTTAAACAGAATGAAGATCAACATGCAAGGAATTGGATCAAAAGAAGCGAGCCATATCCATGTACAATAAAAGTGAATTTTTCCATCCCTATTAAGATCTTCACTAGTTTGAGAAACACCCCATGAATTTCGTTTAACAACAATTCCATTCACATCACATCTGTCTTTCCAAATGGGAAGAAAAAAAAATGTTAACAAGACTAGAAGAATCTTTCACTTCAAGAGTGGAAAAATCCATTAATAAGGTAGAAGAGCTGGATTCTTGATCAAAACTAGAGTTCATACAATATAATCCAAACAGAACTCCTTCACTCTTAGGCCCCACAAAAATTGCATTCAAAGATAGAGGGATTACTAGTAGCTATGGAAAAAAGATAATGGCAACAGTAGTTAAATTAGATGTGTGTGTCATTATTTAATTACATATTAATGAACTTAAGTTTTCTTCAACACATGTTTTGTGTAAATAGTCATGAGAAATAGAGTTTATCTTGGCTTTGCTAATATGTCCTATGTACACTGAAATTCAATTTGCTTTAGTGCCTACACTTTTCAGCAGCTAGAAAAAAACTGAAGACAAATGTAGGAAATAAAACTTTTTTCATTTCCCTATGTGAACGTTTTTCTATAAAAAGAGTGCATTTTTTGAGTTACAATCTGAGAAGAAAATAATGTTTGTCAAATTTTTTACATGTTCTATATAGCCATGGTGACCATATGTTTTAAGAAAATCGAGGCATTCGCAATTTTGTTGAAACACTGTTTACCTGTCTCCTTTCAAAACCCTCAGGTCCCGAATAATTTAATTATAGGTGTAAAAAATTAATTAAAAATCTTTATATTTACATCGAGATTTTTCTTAGGCTATTGAATTACATAAATATAGCTAATATATAATTTCGAAAGTTTGCAAAGGAGAGAACATGTTTTATAGAATCACAAAATTTTTCTAGAGTTCGTCATCGGAAACTAATTTTGAAAAGGTAGTACGAACTGAACCTGGCAAAAGTATAAATTTATTCTTGGTTTCCAGCCCAGCTCTAGCACCTGGCTTGGTTTTGGCAGTGAATGTTTGGCTGTTCTGGCAACAGTGTTACTTCTCTCCTTCAGATAGTCGGCGGCAGTTCAATTTGGCAATTGCTTGTGAACTAAGCAGTGCGCTGTACTCCAACAAGTTTTCTTTATTGTTTGTTCAGTATTTTGCTCTCCCGTTTTATTTTTGTTAACACGAGTAGTGATAATAAGGGCAAAAAATATGTTTTGTTAAATGACAAGTTAAAAAGTAGTATGATCCCTTCTTAAAGATGTGACAATACTTACTGTGTAAGTGAGATTAAGATTGCCAATGGTGGACTCTCAGACATTATGCTTCATATCGAGACTAAAACATGACTGCTGGAGTAAATGCAGCAGCCATGACCACTTTGATGAGAAAGATTACAATTTGGGCAAATGATTTTGCCCAAAACAAAATTTTAGGAAAATAAGCGGTTTTTGCATATTACACTGCAAAACAATTATGGCTTTAGATTGTCTGGTTGTACTCTTCAACTATTCCAAAAATATTTGCAACAAAATATTCGGGCAAGGATGAAAAATGAAGCCATGGTGAAAATTATTTAGCCCCAGTGTGCCAAAGGCAGTTGTAACAGGAAATAAGTAAAACGTCTTGTTTTACTGTGATGGTCAATAGCTCAAATCATGGTGCTGAAAACTTGGTCCAAACGTTGAAACATTTTTATGTCACTAGTGGTATTAACATTAAAGTACTAAAGCTTGAAACATTCCCTTGGGAAACAAGTGTTTATCTAGACGAGATTGAATAATTGATTTTGAGCTGGAATGGTCTGGTTGAAAAATTAGTTTGTATGTAAGCAAAACACACTAATAAAATTTCAGGGGCACAAAAAACCTCTTTCTTTTCTTTCCAGTTAATGCCAAGGTAATAATAGTGAAATTGTTGAAGTTTGTTTTGTATCTACACAATTCATGAGGCAGAACTGAAGGAGATCTGCCAAGTCATTGATGTTGAATACTAAAAGCTGTTTGTCTTACACTAACACACAATGGCTCAAACATATACTTACTTTAGAACATGATTTACAAATGACAGAGCGACTCAAACTATTTTTCTGCCCAGGATAATCCTCCTGTGGTTTTAAACTCATTTTTTGAAGACCAAATGAATTGTAGCTTAGATTCCTACACAACTGCGCATCAGTTTTCAACAAAGGTGTAGGAAACACGAAGGGAATGAAGTATGTGAATATTTGAATTTACAAGAGATATTGATTGAAAGACAATCATTTCCATCGAGTCAAATTGTCTAAATTGAATTAAAGAGGCAGCTAAAATTGAAAGAAGTAGAAGAAAGTTGAACTCTTTTTGAAGATAGTTTGCCACCAGCTTCATCTTATGATCTCTTCAAGAAACTGAAGTGTGATGAATACATAACAATCCAGACTACTTTGACAGAAAGTAGGACAAACCAGAAGCTTTCACCAGAATAGGTTATTATTTTCAAATCCTGGGACATGATCAGAGATGAGATAAATCTCCCTAATCCTAAGATGTTTGTTGAATTTGTTATATTCTTACCAGTAACAAATGTTCTGGTTGAGTGGGCATTTTGATTGATAAACATTGGCGGAGAGTGCACAATATCTGTTGATCATGTACAAGAAATTTAAATAATATTAATGAACTGTTTACAACCATGGATGGAAATTTATTAGATCATCAACTACAATGTGTGTGTTTTTTTATTTTGACCAGCAGTTATCACCTTGTTTAATAACAAAGTGATAAAAGGTCCTTATTTGTACTTGTGTACTAAATCCACTCTACCTACCAATACACACGGTTATACAATCCTCGTCCTCCTTCCACCTTGTGAAAATAGTTTATTTTCAGTTTAATAATACAGATTTCATGGCTAATGAGGATTGGGCATTTTAGAAATAAGAAATGTGGCCTTGAGTACTGACTTGAAAAAACATTGTGCCAATTTTCACTAAGAGCACTATGATCACCATAGCTTTAGTGTCTAAACTGCTTGACTGTTGAAAAATTCAAATGATTTAATGTAATGTATTTGTGTATTGAAACCTCTCTCTCCAAGAGTGCAAAGTTTTCAAGATGTAAGCAAATGCTGTAAAAAAAAACAACGAACTTTCTGCAGTTATTGCACAATGCACATTTACGGGACGGCAAATTTTAAATTCAGATTCAGCATTTCCAAAAGAGAAAATATCTACATTTCCCTCAGGCAAACTACCATGTGACTGGACCATTAGTCTTCTGTCTCCAAGTCACATGCAATTTGCATTGCAATTGTGTTTATTTATTCTTACTGACTCACATTCATTCCTCTTAATTTGTAAAATCAAACTCAAATATGGAAAAACAGATCCAGAGTTAGGGTCTGCAGGCGGGCGTCAGTTATCTTTATCCTAGTTACAATGTTATTAGAATATTACAAGTGCAACATTAACAGCTTACCACTTAAACCATCACCTATAGATATTCTGGAATCCTTGCTCCCACTAGTGGTAGAGTGTTCAGCAACAGCTGCATCTCTTCTCAAAACAACACTATCCTTTGCAGCCCGCTCAACAGCACTGAACTCATTGCTCCTCCTTCCCACTTTGCGCTCAAATGTCGGTTCAGTGAAAAGGCCAAAGGGTTGCTTGGGAAGCTCAAGCTGCGGTGGAGGCCCAGCATAATCTAACTTTGCACGCTTTAGGATGGACATGTTTTGTTCCAAATTCATCATAACCACATCATCATCAAAACCAAAATCAATTTCTAATTTCACCTGAAAAGAAAACATACACAAATTAAATTAGAAGTGAGAAAGACACATGAATGTAAAAAAAAGATTAAGTAACAAATTCTGTGAGAGTATTCTCAGTGTGAAGAGGAGAGGGGATGAGAACTCTGGCATCAACTGGAGGATAGTTTTATAACTTGCAGTCAAAAATTTCTCACTTTCTGATCCTTTCTTAAATTCAGTTTACCAGAAAACAATAGGTTTATGAGCCCACAAAACACTTTAAAGAACACTCCCACTGAGCAGCGTTGATTAATTGTTTTGATTTAACCCCCTCTTAACCTTATTCCAACCAGGTTAATACGATCCATACCGTTACAAGCAATAGTGGTCGCTAATTACCTAGAAGTTGATACAACCTTAAATAGCAAAAACCGTAACGTAATGCTGGAAACTTAGCAGTAAAATTACACGGAAAAACAAACATTCACAATAACTTACGTAAGTTTCGCGTGAGCCTAGAGGGTTCCCTAAGACTAAATACTATACTGTGAATGACTGGAAATAAAAATCTGCAAATAGAAACTCCGCATCTGTGCTCTTTCTCTATCACGACGACGTCACACTATTCAGCATCTGGCCACATGACGCAATTGCAGTATTCACGAAGCCGGTTATTACAGTTATACGAGGGTATTTTATTCCTAGTTCTAAAGCAATGACCGCGCTACTTTCTGGAAAACCAATTTATATGGCTTTGTGCAGCTGTGTTTTTGCTGTTACAGGACACTATATAATACTTATATAATGTAACTTACTTGCAAAAATTGGAGAATGTCATCCATTCCAAGATTATACAGAGTGTGTCTATGCATTTTTAGCAAGTTGAATGCCATTCCTGTTATAATACGTTCTCCAAGATATAAATATACATCCCAAATCCTCAATGTAAGTGTAAAGGGTACCTGATAAAAAGAAATCAATTAAAGAAATTCTAATTACACATACTACAAACCCAATAGTAATTCCATTTTGTTTAAAATAACATATTAACATACATACAAGGAAATAGGGCATTACTATCTATTTACAATGTGTATACATGCCATAAACTTTTCTTAGTAGCAAATACATTCAAGCTCAACACTGTGCTTTAGAAAAAAAAAAAAAAAAAAAAGAAAAATTGCTGCTCTCGCAAGGTATAAGAGCAACACATGCATTGCAACTTCACACAATTCATAAACACAAAATATTGCAATAACGATTAAGGCAATCATTTTTTACATATTAAAAAGGTTTTAGTGATGCCCTTGGGTCACCTTGTCAGTTTCTAGGAGGGCTTTTTTTTAAATCATTACATAAACCTCTGACGTATCCAAGTAAAAGCTGTAACCAGAGGTGTACCATTTTTGGATGTTTTGGAAGTGCTGTTTCCCTTTCAATTTGAAAACAATATCTTGACTATGAAAAGGTAAAGATTTCCAATGAATTTTTATCTGAATTTGGCCTCTCACATCCCGAATTACATTCTGAAGTTCAGTATTCTCAGGGGACTTACAGCTAGTTTGCAGTTTAGAAACCTACAAAGAAATAACAGTATAATGCATAATGCAGCACTTAGGACCCAGCAACTCATGTCAAAGTCTACTTAGGAGCTCTTCCCAAATACTCCCACACCCTGAGATATGGAATTTAGATTACACGCAAATGCACAAGTGGTGTGAATGTGTATTATACTACGATTTTTTTATTATCTGTCTTATCTTATATTTTCTTTTATCGTCCGAGTTCACTACTTAAGTGATTCAGTTTGTTAACCCTAGTATAATTTGTGAATATATTAACACCAATGCAGAGTATAGGCAAAGTGAATATGTGTATCTGTGAGTTGGAATCTTGCATCCACCATTGATGATAAGACTGATGGGCATGAGCGGCAAAATGTAAGACTAGTGTGGATGAGGAACTATAATAGCTGTTTGAAATGTCTCTTAACACAGAAGGAGAGAGGACTCTCAGGGCCCCTGCACATGAGCATTGCATTGACCCATGTTAAATAACTTGAGTAGTAGAAAATTACGAAACTGCACACGAATAATTTGAATGTTCTGCTTACGGTACAGTCTTATAGAAAGATTACTATCAGAAGGAACCGCTTTGACAGCTACTGCTTTATCACTGTTGGCAATATCACCACAAGTTACATTCATGCACTCATTTTGTCAGTGCATACGTTTACAGTTAGCTCATTGCAAAAGGCTACATCATTATCTCTTCCAATGTCATCGCCCTGCACGACGTTCATTTGTTTCCTGACATGTCAAAGTGACATAGCAAAGTCATGTTAAAGTAACTCCTTTACAATCTACGACGCGCATTACTTATAGCGCCTCAACCTAACACTCGTGTGAAACAGACCTCGAGGTAGTTACACAGGCCTCTGTGATATATTGTAACTTTTGGCTGTGCTTCAAAGTGAACTAAATTTAAAACTTCCCCAGACTTAACAACCAAACAATTATACATTCTGAATTATTCACAGACCCATGGATATTCACACGTGTGAAAACAGCTTCCATTGATCTGAAAGTCATGCAACATCACTGGATGTTATACTCCCTGGTTTATAGCGCCAGCATGGCATCAGCATTGGCTTATTCTTCAACATTAACCCTTGAATAAAAATGACTTATCAAAATAAAAATAAATGAAAAACTACTAAAACATCAAACATACCCGGTCAAGAAAACACTGAAAGAACCATTTTAAAGTATAAATTCCAGTATCCACACCATTTCTATCCAAATGCTTCTTCAATTTGGGCAAAAACTTGTTCATAATCTTATCATGATGTTCTTGGTAACGAAGAAGTTTAGGAAATCCAGGAATATAGAAACCTAAAAATAAACAAAACCAATTACTGAGCATAAATCATCTTTTGGAAACATTCATACTTTTCATTATTCTATATGGGTTATCAATTAATTTAAGTACTGTATTTAACTAAATTTTGAGAAGTACTAACACAAATATTATAGACAATGTTTTCAAAGAAAATGTATAGTTTTTCAACACAATACTTTTTTTAACTCTACACAACTATTACTTGTATAATCATGTTCATCTGAGCCAAACTATTAAAACTAGTGGACTATTATTTAAACTAACTACACGTACTTTCTCACATACCTAACTTCTCCACAACTACATAAACCTGCAGAAGCAAAATTTATTTTCCGCAGTGAGAATCATGCTCATGTCTTCTGAGTTAACTCGCCATGAGCCTTACCTTCATGCTACGGAAACAGAGTTTTGAACTCTGGCTGAAGCTTAATGTAACAAGGGATTCTTAAGGGTTAACATGCCATCTTATCTTTTTTGAGATATGGTAGTCAAAAGAAAAGCTCATTTCATCCTCAGCAACAGCAGTTCCTGAGAGAACTGCTTTCTGTTGACGATTCGCACAATCATGTTATGAAAACCAACTTATCTTAGAAATTATTCATGTTAGAAAAAAATCTAAGCACATGTAAATGGGTGAAAACCAAAACGGTATAAGTGACTTTTATAAATTGTGAGATAAACATTAATTTTAGGTTATCTTTCAGTGGTAATGTATTTTTGTGGTTTCAATAAACAATTTAAATGCCATGATTTTAAGGATGGAAGAAAGCACCAGGGCTTTCTTTAAACAGATTTATCTGAATTTATAAAATATATCTTATACCGTTCTGGTTTTCATCCATTCATATTTGCAATCAGGACACTCAGTACTGTTTTCCAACCTCACACCTATCCATGAACGTGGCTTAGTACTAAGGTTAGCCAGGTCAAAACTTGAAAGGACATGCACGCGCTCTCCTCCCTCCCCCCTCCCTCCCTCTCTCCCCCTCCCTTCTCTCTCTCTCTCTCTCTCCGCTCCCTCCCTCCTCCCGCCTCCTCCCTTCTCTTCTCTCGCCCCTCCTTCCTCTCTCCCCTCTCCCTCCGCCTTCACCTTCTCTCTCTTCTCTCTCCCCCTCCTTCTCTCTCTCTCTCTCTCCTCTCTCCGCTCCCCCTTCTCTCTTTCTGCGCCCCTTCTCCGCCTCTCTCCTCCCTCTCTCCCTCCCTTCTCTCTCTCTCTCCCTCCCCCTCTACCCTGTCTCTCTCTCTCTCTCCCTCCCTCTCCCTTCTCCTCCCTCTCCCATGTCCTCCTGCTCCCTCTCCCCTCCCTCTCTCTCTCTCCCTCCCCCTCCCGTCCTCCTCTCTCCTCTCCCCCTCCCTTCTCTCTCCCTCCCCCCCCCTTCTCTCTCCCTCCCCCTCCCTTCTTCTCCTCTCCCCCTCCCCCCTCCTCCATCCCCCCCTCCTTCTCTCTCTCTCCCCCTCCCTTCTCTCTCTCTCCCCCTCCCTTCTCTCTCGTTTTGTGGATCGTAGATAACGAAAAATCCATTGATGGCAAATGGCCTGCCCAGTCATGGTCAACGCTAGCGCCTAAACTGTTCAGATTTTCTCCAAAATTGATCTGATCGATTGATCTGATCGAAATTAACTGATCGATTTCGAACTGAAGGCCCAGCGAGTTCGAAACCACTATATTACGGGGAGGGGGACTTTACAACGAGTCTCAACGTTTCAACATTTTCTCAAAAATGCCACAAACTTTGGCTTCATCAACCCTTTAAAAAATGGCACAGGTGTCATTTTCGTTGAAATTCCTGATTTTTCGAAAATGGGAAAAGTTACAAATAATGCCAGAATGTTTGGGCAGTTTTTTCACCTCTAATTAACAACTTAAATTCTCTAAAATTAGAATATATTTTGCCTAGATAAGCTATTTTCATTTCCCTGTTTCTTCTCTTTTAGAAATATTGCTTAGAGTGTGATTTTTATAAAGCTGCCATCTTCACATTGGCTTTATGTCACTCTATTTTGCGTCTTTCTCAGTTGTGCCACTAGATGTCACGGAAAAACCATCAGTTTCATAAGCAGCTTATGCCATCCCACTACCGAAAGGATATCCTTGTTCTTAGGCGAGTAAAAGGGCCTTTGAAGAATGGGACTTCCAACAGTTGAAGAGGTATTGAAGGGTGTCAAGACTGCATTACGATACTGAACGAACTCTGGAGCAAGATCTCACGAAAGTACTAATGAAAAATATATGCAGCAAACAATTGAAAATAATGGATTCTTTTTCAGGAAAAATAGATATTGAAATGTTTAGATTGTACTTTTCATATAGATTGCTGTATCTCTATATTAATAAAATCAATCATTGTGGAGAAAGTCTATTTAATTTTGACATCATCAAATATAGTGAACCTCAGATATAGCGAACCAAACATGTTAATCTCTAGAAGTTCACTATAACTGGAGTCAACTGAATGTATTATGAATGCCACAATACAGAAAAATATGCAACAAGTGCAAAAAATATGCACTGTCACTTACCATGCATGCTGTACTTTTTATCTGCTATGAGCACAGATAAAGCCCAGAAAGCATCTTCCTCATTCATGTACATTAACAGTAGTGCTGCTATCTGGGACATGCCTTGGCAATACCCGATGTCCAAGTTGTACACACTATAAGCAGACAAAACATTGAAGAGAGCCTGTTGTTGAATGCCGTACCGCTCTCTAAACATTATATGGTCACGGTACGTGCGATTAACATCCAGATCTATTTGACGTATATCTGGTGACCAACGATAAGCCAACAGCAACATTTCCTACAAGGAAAAAATACAACAGGTTAGTGAATTGTGCAATTATTGTGGAAATACAAAATAATACGTTATTGTAAAACTTTATTATATAACACTAGAATTTAATTGAATGTTTAATCCACTTTTTTTTTTTCACTTTCGGAGGCTTTATACTTTTTAATTACTGAAATTACAGACACTTTATTTGGGATAATTTAATCTCAAAGTTTTCATTAATAACTGAATACATAATTATTTGCTCTGATGATGATTTATTTCAGTCTTAGTATTTTCCAGTTACATTATTTATGCATTTAAACAGCTGTTTATAATAAATAAATAATACATATTATAAGTATAACTCGGATTTTTGGACTATTGTCTATTTAGCCTCATTAGGAGGTTGTGGAAAATAATTTTAGATGCCTAAAATCATTAATTATTTATGTCAAATTCCGAGGTCTAATAACTACATGAAACAAAGTGGCACTCACACTTCGCATTAATTTTCAAAATAGAACAGCTCTATTTCACACCTCTAAAAAATAAATTTTCCATTGGGGTTGATAAGATTATAATAATAGTGCATTCTGTGTAGGATTTGTTACTATAAAAGCTGCATTTTCAGTTACTTAACTAATAATTATTCCTAATAATTATAGTTATATTTTATTTTCTAATAAAAGCAGAAATGCTTCTATGGTTACCATTTGGTTATTGAAGATACTCATTATAATAACCCTCTGCCCCAAAATTCTATTGTATAGTTACAAAGACTGGAAATTACTTTTGTTATTTCCGCAAACAAATTTAATTTAATAATAAAGGTGTGCCAATAATAATTGCTTGAAATAGTGGAAATCCTCAGAACCTACTTATTCTAAACTGCTTGCCAAACTTAAGAAAAAGTTTGTTAAGTCTTATAATAATATTTTTATTCACTGTGTTATGCCACAATGTACCACAAATTAAATTGGAAGGACATTAAGTTTTATAGACTATTTCCAATACCATAAAATTATGACATACAAAAAAGATTGTAAAATACAACTACAGAATATGATATGATGTAGTGTTCCCTACAGTGTAGCAATACTGAACACATACCAGTTTGTACAATACTGTTTGGCTATTAAAACGAGAGGTCTAACTACAATTATTTGCAAGACTTTATGAATCTGATAAAATCAAGAATTTGACTTGAAAGTTTCTATGCTATATCTATTGCCTGGTCAGGGGCCATACAAACTGCAGTATATATTAACACATAACAGGAACATATATTTAGGAATATATACATACAAATAGGAAATCCTGTTGAAGATGCACAGATACCATACTATATTACTTGGAAATATTTTTCATGAAAACAAGTACTTCTAAATGCATACCATACTACACCGTAATAATAATGTGCTGCTCTTAGTATTTCTTTGGCAGTATATTAATTACTATGACACATAACATCAAACACCTCAACTCAAGGACTCAAAAACAGTTTCCAGAAAATGTGTTTGATTACAATACATGAGAAATAATTTAAAATTAATTTAAAAAAGGCAACCTCTACAGACTGATCCTGTAACTTCAGATATGAAGTTAAAGTTGCAAAATATTTTTCACCAAACCACACAAACAAATAAAACCTCAAATTGTGAGTTACAATGGTATTGCATTTAAGTAACAACAGTGTATGAAAACGACAATGCAAATATTACTTTAGTATTTATTTACCTGATATTTTCCCTTCTGTTCTTTCATGACGTTATCAAGCTGAAGCAATTGTCTCCAAACCTGCCCACGGACAGAATCTGGGAGTCCTTTATATAAACGTCTTCGCATTTTTTCAGTGTTGACAGCCGTTTCCCAAGTATGCAGCATTTTGAGCCATTTTTTAACTCGTTCCATTTCCACTTGAATCTGGCGTTTCTCTGAGTCAACTTTTGATGGCAACCGTTTGTCACTAAAACAAAACAATACAGATTAAAATACATTACGAACAATAATTTACATTTTATATATATTTTCATGATCATTAAAATACGAATCAATAATTTTAACAAAGAACGTCAAGCTATTAAAAATTCTTTGTGGTCTATACTGTGGGGCAGTATGGAAAAACAAGCAGATATGTTTGGTCATGTTAAAAAGAAATAAGGTGAAAACGCTTGTGAATACTATCAGCCCAAATGTATAAACAAGAGACAGCAAAGAAGGTGGACAAGGTTTTGACACTACTGCTCGCACTTTGATACTACTACTAGTGCCATGTGGTTCTACTTGCGTTGCACAGAAGGGTTTGATATTCCACCTTCCCTAGTGGTGCAACAAATCATGTGCACAGAATGGGAAGGGATTTTAAAAGTGGTCAGAGACTGTGCCTGACTAAACTAACAAAATTGTACACGCCATTAAACTGTATAAATGCTGGATCATATTGCCAATTTTTTAAAATATAAATTGCCTTTACTGCCAACAAAAGTTTGGGAAAATACTGTTTTTCAAAAATTGTACATAAGAATATTTGAGAAGAAAAAGAAGAAGAAGAAAAAGAAGAAAAAGAAGAAGAAGAAAAAGAAGAAAAAGAAGAAGAAGAAAAAGAAGAAGAAGAAAAAGAAGAAGAAAAAGAAGAAGAAGAAAAAGAAGAAGAAAAAGAAGAAGAAGAAAAAGAAGAAGAAGAAGAAAAAGAAGAAGAAGAAGAAGAAGAAAAAGAAGAAGAAGAAAAAGAAGAAGAAGAAAAAGAAAAAGAAGAAGAAGAAGAAAAAGAAGAAGAAGAAAAATAAAAAGAAGAAGAAGAAAAATAAAAAGAAGAAGAAGAAGAAGAAGAAGAAGAAGAAGAAAAATAAAAAGAAGAAAAATAAAAAGAAGAAGAAGAAGAAGAAGAAGAAGAAGAAGAAGAAGAAGAAGAAGAAGAAGGGGGGATCTCTTATCAATATTAATTAAATTTGTTCAAAGAATTGTCATGCCAACCGGGATTCACACCTGGATCCCCTGGTTTAGGCCCGGTTGCTCTAACCACTAAACTACCAAGACAACAAATTCTTTGAACAAGTTCCTAGGCATGATGTATTGCCAGTTATTATATGTTTGACTGTCACCACCCAGCCACTTTTTGGTGACAATTAAACTTAGTAATATTGTATTTTTGCAATATTTGAAAATAGAGTTCACCAAATATGGGATGTGCCTAATTTTTTGAAGAGTCATTTGCACTACATTCAAGAAACATTTGTAGCCGACCTTGATAAAATAATTGTTTAAAAGTTGCCAATATTTCACACAAATTACACGAAAACTACTCACATTTTCAAATAATTGAACACATCAAAGCCTTAAGATCTGCCTTGGAAAATTAGAACTAATTAAAAAGCAATCGTCTATCTTCAATATTGTAATGGTAGGAAGAAACTGAAAAAAAATTGAAAGGTCAACAAAAATTAAACCTGGGCCAGTTTTTAAAGGTGCTCATTGCTCAATCAGAGGAAAAAGTTCAATAAAAAATTTGGAAGGATTTTTGAATAAAAATTGAAAATGTTTAGGCTTCGGGTAAAGTAGCTTCAAATACAAAATATGGTCATTCCATGTCAAGTAGTTTAGGGCTCCCAGCGCGCCATCTTAACTTTGATGAAATTGTATGCCGATTCCCACATGTTTTAAAGCAGCTTTGTAAGGATGTAGATTCATAGGTAAAGTGGTTTACAAGATTAGCAATTTTTACTTTCTCGCTACCGGACCCGTGGTCGAGAGAAAGTTATGTAATGCTGCGCGAAAAAACGAAATTGTCGACAGAAAAAACTATTACCTGGTAACGAAAATAGGGATAAATCCAGTTACTAGATTTAGAAGAGAGAGAAAAAATACTCTAACACGTGGTGTAGCCAGAATCCATTTTTGCGAGTCCTTGATACTAACAAATCGATTGACGGCAAAATGTACGTCCGTCAACAACGCTAGTGGCTAACCCGTTCAGCCTATTTTCTCCAATATTGATATTCCCCAATCGATCTGACTGATGTCACGGCTCGTTGAATTTGAAATCAATATTTTAATTTTGAGGCACTTTACATTACATCCCTGGGAGAATTTTCTACATTTTTTAAAACGTAACTCCATCGTTTTGTATTAAATCTGGATGTTGGATAATGTAAAGGACGTTTAAGAGAATGTCGCAGGTGTCATTTTCATTTAAAACTGAGTTTTGGAAAATTGATAAATTGAGTTTTTTTCGGCATCTTCCTACAAGTATATTAAAAACGATTTTTCCACTTAATAACACGTTTCCTAAAGATAGATTTAAAAAAGATCAGTGTTCAATTATAAATTTGAGTATTTTCGCGTAATTTTGCGTGAAACATAGACAATTTTTAATTTTGTTTGAACAATTTTTTCTCAAAACGGCTACATCATTTTTGATGAATATTTGTTGCTGGATATACACGTAAGCTCGAGTTCATGACTTCTTGGCTGCCCGGGTGACGCCGCGTCGTTGGCTGAGAGGCCGGTATCTTTTGTTGCTGGATAGTCTGAAGGACGTTAAGAAAATAGTACAGGTCTTTTGATAGTTAAAAATCCTGTTTTTTCGAAAATTAAAAAAAAATCGAAATTTTGTCGGCGTCTTTCTACAACTACAATTATGAAGACGATTCTTTCTTAATGTGTTCATCAAAAACATCTTTAAATCAGGTCATGGCCAATTTTTTAAAAACGAATATTTTTTGTGGAAGTTGTGTCAAAAGGCATTTTTTATTTTCTTAAAACCATTTTTTCTTTAAAACTGCACATTTTTTAATTAAATTAGGATCTTAGTTAGCATAAAGGACGCTTAAGAGAATGGTGAATGTCCCATGTTTATTGAAGAGTCTAATTTTGCTAAAATTAAAAAACATTTTACCGTTTTCCTATGATGTGAAGATACTTTTTTTCCCCTAAATGAAATGGTATATCTAAAATAGGTCTTCAAAGATGGTCAGGATTGATTTTTTTTAAAATATGAGGTTTTGTGTAAGTTTGCGATAAAAATAATCGCCCGCTCCGAGTTTACTGTGTACTTCATGAACGTAATTCCAGACCGTTGGATACTTCGTAAGCTAGAATTTGTAAATTATTTCATACTTCTTTGTACGTTTCTACCATTCGATCATTGGTTATGCATTTCCACATTAATAATTTAGAAATTATTTAAAAGGTATTTTAAATACATGAAATAAAAATTCCTAGCCTTCAGAGAATATCAGATTGGAAAACAACAATAACTCGGGAGCTAATTTTTTGTTATTGTTGGGATATGATTTACCTGTATGAAAAGCAGTTATAATTGTCGAATGTGTTGATATTTGCTTGAAAATATTTAGTTTTGCACCAAATGTACGATTTTTAATGAGCAGTGTTAGGCAGTATTTAAATATTTGTATTTGAAATACATTTGAATTTTTGAGCTTTTTTGGGCATGTATTTTAGACATTTACTTAAATACATAAAGTCGGTTTATTTAAGAAATACATAAAATACTTTAAATTCAGACAACTCGGGCAGCCGGGAAGCAAAACCGGGCAGACAAAAAACTGAAGTGTTCCAAATTCTCTAATACCTTTTTTACGTTATATATATTATAAAAAGACAACTATTTGTTTTTGTTTAGCCTAGAAAAAAATATTTTTGAAGTTACAATTATCGAAAGATATTCATTTATTCCCAAAATGGAAATGTTTCATAATTTTTAGCTCCAAATGTATTCCTTGTAAAAACTTATACATGATCTCAAATTAAAGATAAAGAAGCAATCTTCCAACGAATTTTTTTAACAATTGCAGTTTTATATTGCATTTTTTAAATTGTTTATAATTTTTCAAACAAGTTTTAAGATAATCCCCATGATTTGCATTTAAGTCTACGGAAAAAAAAATTCTTTAGACTTTCATCCTCATCTCTGCAAATTTTCAAAATTACTTCCGGTTTAGAGCTCACGTAAAAAATAATATTCAAGGGAGTGCGGAGTATTTTCTCGCCCACCGCGGCGCGCCGGTGCCACGCCGCTGTCAATGCTCCCCGTCTTCCTCCACTGGGCTTGCGGCCTTGCGCAACACTCCCCCACGCCCCGTTCATCGATGTCGGCAGGTCGTTTTCCACCCAAGGCAATGGCAGGAAGTCGACCAAGCAATACAAACACATTTTTTTCATCCAAGAGCGTCTTTATTGTCGGACGAGCCAGAGGGGCGCGATCGGTTCAGTTCCACTGTAGAAGTGACAGTGCAAGTAATATCCTCGTTTGTGACGTGTGTATGAGTGCCCGTGAGCTTTTTTCTTGTGTGGGAGAGTGGCAAAAAGTAATTGAAGATGCCAGATACACAAAACATACGTTTTGATTCATGTTTCAATACTTTCAATTTAGAAAATCATGGCCGAACAGAACGAAAAGATTTAAGACGTGTAACACAAAGTATCCTTGAAAAGTTGGGCATTCAATACATATTAATTACACAAAACTTGAAAATTTGTAACAGATGGAGATGGAAAACTTCAAAACTGTTTATAAAGAAAGTAAAACTTCTAAAGGAGCCATTGAAACATTTTGCAGCAAACCTGCTACAAGTCAACAGAATAGAAATTCAGTTGTACAGTAATTCGGAATTGAACATTGAAATGAGAGATGGTGATCTATCTCCTAATGAAGCAGAAGCATCGACAGTCAAGAGAGTAAAATTATCACTTCTAAATGAAAGTTTAGCAGGGTTGGTTGAAACCCCTAGAAGTAAAAAAGAAACTGATATAAAAAGCAAATTCTCGTCGAAAAGTGCAGAAAATAAGACGAACCTTGGACACAGAAATATTTGATTTAGAAGAGGTACAAGAAGAAAAACAAAAAAATGATTACATCATAAAAAAATTGAAAAAAGATACAAAACTACCGATGATAAAAATTAATATTTTAACGATATTTGAAGATAATTTTCCTAAAATGAAGCC